TTAACCTAAAATACTTTACCTACTTACTTTACTAAAAATATTTACATAACAAAGATGCATTGTTCTAGAACCAACCATTATCAACATAACGTTATGTTGTTCAATGAATACCCCAACAAAAAACAAATTTGTTAAACAATCTAATTATTTGTGTAACGAGGCGACTAGAGTCGAACAGCAACAAATTTGGAGAAAGTAAAATGTTTGAAAAATTACTGTAACAATGATATATAATTTTCTTCCTGACAGATAATGGGTAGGTAGTAAACCCATACTAAGAACATAAAGATTAAACTGTAATGTTGCTGTAAAATAATAAAGTAGTTTGCTTTACTTTTAGCTGGATTACTTTTTCTGCACCTATACGTAACTATTAATAAATGTCAGTTATTTTGAGGAATTTAGACGGGGACCGAACGCATGTCCGTTCGTTCGCTTTGGTTAGTCCATAGGTATATAATTCCTATATTTCATAAAGCCGTCAAGTGCGTCACATCAACGACATATGTAATACCTATTAACGGCATTTTAGTAAGCTACCGTTTAACGGCAGTTTAAGTACAGCCTTTTTTTTAATCCTAATTCAAATTACAAAAACAGGATGTTCAAATTTGTATTATTCTTAACAAATCGTAACATTCTACCATTTAAATCAATTCATATGTGGCTGTTATGTTTCGAAATATCACCATTCTTGTAGCTGCAGGTTCTTTATTGCAAGTCACTCTCTTTGACTGTCCATTCTGATTACTAATCATTTCGCGAATTAACAGCAAAATTATTTAATTACAACAAGTACACGTCGCGTAATGTTTCTTTTAGCATTTTCAATACTTTTACTAGTCTCCGTAAAATAAATATAGAACGGTGATACTAAATATGGTTTTATATAGTTTGTCACAATGTTGGATTATAATATATTCTGAATTGGCGTTAACATAAATTAACTTTATAGCGTTTCTTTAAAATTGACATTGTGGGTCAAATATATTTTGCAATTATTATATTAATACAAATCACAGATTGCTCATAACCAGCATGCCCACTTACTATAATTTGCATGAAAATCTGCTTACGTACCTAGATATCCGCTTATGATATTCTACATTCTTTTTGTATTATTCTTACTGTATTCTTGTTATGTAGCAAGAACGCTCCTGAGCTTCTTTGAAGATTCGTTTAAAAAATCAATCGAGACTGGTTCTCTGAAAAGAACAAGCCAAGCTGGCTATCTTTTCATGATATTTTGACGACGTTTCGTGCACTTCGAAACCCCATCATCAATGAATCAAATCAAAAAATATTCTGATTTAAATGAAATTTGTTATGTCGATAGACTGGACCCAGGCGAACTTGACCGTGTACTGTGACAGTATTGACGTAAGAAATGTCAAAAGTTGATGTCGTCCGATCGCCACCAAATTTGGAGGGTAAGCTATAAGAGTGACGGTGCACACGTTGCAAAGTTGGATACGACGTTTCGTTTACATCATCATCAGGGTGGGACTAAGGATTTGATATTGAAGAAAAATGTGGGTCGATTTCGGCACAATTGGGGACGGGCCACTAAATGGACGAAATTATAAGAATTTTTCTGAATTATGGGTCAATCTGAGAATGAATGGACAGAATCAGACAGACGGAAGTAAGAAAAAGTTTCAATTTTTTTAGTGATATAAAGTATAATTTAATATAAATGTACTAATATAATATTTTACCTAATACCATTTCAAACTGTTTATATGATTTACACTTCACTACTGGAGTATGTACGGAATTACGTATCAGGAAATAAGCCTTATTAAGCTCTTATATGGTATAACTGTGAGAAAATGGAAACAATGTAGGTATTTTAGAAACAGGCTGAATATATTTCAGTTAAATAGAACGGTTACTTAACGAAGATCTATTTAGTTTACACACTTGGCAAAACTGCACATTCATCTCTTGAACGACTGTACACAAACACTCGTACGTGTAGGTTTACCGTTTATATGCACATGCATATAAACATAGGTATAAGAAATTACACAATTTAAAGCGGTCATAGATGTTAAAGAAAATAGAATACCGTTTTTACAAGCTTATAAATAACTTGTAATGTTCGTATAAGTTATTTAAAATATTTAAAATCTGCTTTCCATAAATACATTTCAGTTTGGAATCTTTATCGGAAGAACAGCAAAATAGTACCATGTGAGCATCATCAGCAGATGATTAAAACTGTCAGTTTTAATCAACATCTGCTGATTCTATAATTACTAAACATTTTTATAAATATCGATACTGAATATAAAAATTATTTATTAAAACATAAAGTTGTATAAGGATGGACCACAAAAATTACAGCATGGTATCCACGAGGAGTTAAGAGACCTAGAGGAAGACCGAACCTGAGATGGAACCATGGTATTAGGAAATTAGCAGGGATAACTTGGGCCCGAACAGTCAACAATAGACAACAATGGGCCCAACTACACAAAGAATATGTGAGGGAGGCTACACCATAATTTAGAAATGGTTGAATAAGCTGAAAATGATGAAGATGAGAGGCACAGAGGAGCGCAAGGAGCGCAAAGTACTCGCGGATGACCCCCACGTGGTGGCGCATAATTTATGGAGGATATTATTCCGAGTGTTGAGCTTAGCTGCAGTTTGTGTGAGGTGCTTAACGCATTAAAGAAGTTGCAACACAGACACCTGTTTGAGGCATGGTACTTCTGATGCGTGTCAAATACTCGTCAGCGAGTAATGGCAGTAACTATTATATTAGATAGTCGTAGACCATAATAATTATATTTAATCAGTTATTAAAAATATCTGAATTATATCAAACTGTTTCGCTTGAACTATACTTTTCCACTTCATTCAGATTTTAAAAATCCGAAATTTAGAAACAGCAATTCGAAATGACTAACACAACATATCGAGCACCAAACCAAGAAAAATGCGTTATTATACATTGATAAGCAATTTTCATGTGGCGCATTGGAGTGCATTAACAATTTAGCAACGGTGCCGGAGTGATTGTATCTATTTAATTATTACGGTCAAATCAACCGGTCGGCAAATAGTTGTTTTGTACAAATTGGCAGGATAAATAATAATAATAGTTCTGAATTATTTAGATAAATAATTTTGAAATCGAATAAACGGGTTTCTCTGGTTGTGGTCGAATTTGAAATAATTATTGTCTATGCACGCCCGTATGTTACTATAAATCTAACGAATATGGAATTCGATTTAAATTATTGATAAAGTTTATATATCTTATGGGTTAACTATATAAAATGTTAATTTAAATAAAAAAAAATATTATTGAGAATAATTTTCGTATTGCTACATGATTAACAGGTTTTGATTTTACTTTAAGAAATTTTATTACATTTTGGGCAGTGTCTTAACATTTATTTATATAAAGGGTTCGTCTCAAAAGTGACACTTTTTAAGTTGTTACTTTTTTATTTTTTACGATAAAAAAAACCTGATTTGGTATGTTAGTATATGACATAAATTAGGATTGATTGGACGTATTCAATTCAGTTGTTTTTGGTTACTTCCTCTTTCACCAGAAATTACTACAACTTTTGATTTTTAAATGACACACTCGGTATTTTTTTACTTTATTCGATAGAAAATGACACTCTCAATAGAATGACATATCATATGTCAACTTTTGTTCTTTTCGCATATGGTTTATTTGAAATTATAACATGCGGTTCATAACGACAATTTGACTCGAAATACCAAGTGTGTGGTATCAAATTATTCGTAAAAAAATGCTTTTTCCAATTTTTTTTCCTTTGACGACCAAATCTATTTTTCCAAGGCTCCTTGATTAAAAATTAGTGTTTTTAACAAAACCATGGTACTCTAAATTGAAATTTAAAATACGATTTTTTAAGCGAGTATGTCAAAAGTTGACATGATACGTGATTCAGAGTATTATTTTCTATCGAATAAAGTAAAAAAATTATCTGTCATTTCCGGTGACACAGGAAGTGACCGAAAACAACTGAATACGTCAATCAATCCTGATTTATGTCATATACTAACATACCAAATCTCGTTTTTTTATCTAAAAAAATAAAAAAAATAAATAATTAAAGAAATAGGGGTGAGCCACTTTTGAGAAACACCCTGTATATCCTCCAGGGCCTTTAAAAAAGAATGTTGATGATAGCAGCTCCAAGAACATCGGATTTAAAATCTGATGACGTCATCTTGTAGAACAAAAAAGTAGCAATGACAATGTGAGATTTATTTTGCTATATCTGTATCCACATATAAGCAAATCAATGACTAAAGAATCCAAGGACAAATAACACCCGAGAGCAAATTGTGCCGATGTCACCAAACAATGCCGTGGCACATATTTTTCTTAACCTAGCTGTTTATGCAATATTTATATTTTTTGATAATTGTTTTGACTACGTCTATGGTGCATCATACTAATTAATTACGAAAAAAACGTATTAAAATGTTAACAAAAGGTACAAAACTAGTATCGACGTATAGCACATATCAAGTACATATAGATGTTAATTGAAATTGAAGAATAATTATCGAATTCAATAAGAAAACGCTAAAAAGTTGGAGTGGACTGTTTATTTAGGTAAATAAACAGTCTTTCATAGGTATGAAACGTAACTCCTGGCTCTTTCTTATCGCTGCTGCTTTTACACTTGAAAGCTGAACAACTAATCACCATTGTAATAAAGTTTATACAAAGTTTACTACACACAAACTATTAAAAATCGCTAAAATCGTCGCTGGTGACCAAATGATGACTCATTGTTTGCCACCAAAACAAAAAAAAAGGTCACAAATTCTGCTGCAGCCCGTATAGGGGCGTTACATGTCCTTATATTCTTTAGTCATTGAAGTAAATACATTTGTAGAGAAATGCCAACTTGAAAAAGAAAATATATAAAAAGCAACAGAATTATTTACAACAGCTTTTTATCAAATGTAGTAAAATAATTTTCTTTTTTTTTCAGATGTCTTGTTCATAAGACCCGTGAATTTTAACTTTAGAGAAGGATAGAACAAATATGGTGCCATATCTACTGACAATCGGTCTATTTACGTTATTGAAATTCAGTGCTGCCATTCAGGATCAAGACTGGCAACCCCTAATACACGGAGACTACTTCGGTGACGCAATAGGTCACTACCATGGAGGCGGAGGAGGATATGGATTTCCAGATCATGGGTGAGTAGACAAAATGATTCATTTAATATGTTAACTTATCTACTTTATCTGGATTATAACGTTAGCATTCTACAAACAGCCGAACTCACAGCTATTTTCACGCTCTTATTCAAATTCACAGTATGCCACCGGTTGAAGCATTAATACTATCTGATTCACTTAGTTCCCTGAACAGTATTGCTTTTTTAATCTCCAAAAATTCTCTAACCCGCAACATTCGATGTCTTGTAGATGAACTTATTGAAAGAAATGTCAATATTAACCTCATGTGGATTCCTGGACACTCTAACATTGCTGGTAATAACATAGCGAACAAACTGGCTAACGAGGGAACGCTCTTACAGAATATTGAAGGAACTCCATCTGTTGTGGATTTAAGAAATTTTCACAAAAAAGTGTTTCTCGGTATACTTCAGAATTAATAAACTTAGTACTAATAAACTTAGATCACTTCTTCATTTGTATAGAAACACATATTCTCTTGAACATGACCTTTCTGTAAAGTTGTAATAACCCTCACAGAACACTCATAACTCACCAACTCCTCTATCATCAGAAACGAACCCCCTCCGAAATGCACCTTACGTAATAACTTAATGTCAATGAAACATTATCCGTTTTGAATGTTCACCGAATGGTTATCGTCTTGGCGCATTCAGTGATGAGGTGTTCTGGTGTTTCCCCATTTTCCCACAGAATTTGCATTCACCTTTGTATCTTAGCTTCAATTTACTGAGGTGTTCGTTGAGGAGACAGTTCCTGTTAAAAACCCCGTCACAATCCAAAGATCCTTCTCACTTAAATGGAGGAAAATCTTTGATTTTTCTCGGTCGTAAGTTCTTGAGTGTGGCAAAAAGGTATGTGGAAGGTTCGCTCAAGATCTAAAAAAGTGGGTGTAAAAAATGTCAATAACCTCGTAAATCTAAATCAGTGCGATGAGGAAGATATGTCAAATAAATTACGTAATGAATGAAAAGCCAAAGAACAAACATATTTTAAATAGATTCAAAGCGACTTTTCCGAAAGTCTTTCCATTATTAAAGTTGACGAAGTTCGAAAGTTGAGCAATATTTAAGCAGCGTTAGACTAGATTCTGTATTATTGAGGTGAAAGGTGTTGCAGTTTCATTTAATGGAGTGAGAAATGTACGTTTCTCTTATCTGAGCTAGACATCATTATCTGATACGTAGTGTAATCCTCGTTCGAAATGTACAAGTATATTTATTTTCGTGATATTTAACAAAACGTTCATAGTAATCACCACGAAAATTTACTTTATTTGCATAATAAAGTCTAATGATTCCTATTGTATTTTAACTGCTTATTTACGGTTTATTATTAGAGGCAATTTATTAATCAGCAATAGAAATTTATTTTAATAACATTTTACTCTCGATTTTTATTATTTTCGTGTTTAGGATCAAGTGATATAAATATGATACATTTCTTAGCTACAACTATTGAAATACAAAAGTTGTTCCCATTAATATAATATTGAAATCGTGGCTTTGTCAAATATTTTAGTTTTTTGCTAGTGCAGTTATTGAAACTATAAAACACCCAGGTACGAGGTTTGTGTGATGTAACGCAGTTTCGTGTAGTAAAAATTAAGTGAAAAAGAACTCGAACTGGGCGCCGCATTGTGTTCTGGCAATATCCAATGTTAATAAAATTGTTGAAAACATGTTAACGCGTAAAGGAGGGCGTTATTACGTGGTTGTTGGGTGCAATAACATTCAATAACTCAACTTTCCCGAATATTTGAATCTCTCGAATCAATATTTTATGGCTTCACAGCTTCTCAAACTAATTTGATCAAAAGCAAAAATGGATTCAAGCAATTCGACGAGACAATTAAGTGAGTAAACAAAATTTTTAAAAAAATTCAAAAAAAAGCCCATTTTATAATCAAAAAAATTAAATAGACATATACAGTCTGACAAACGGAACTAATACCAAAAGGTATAAATAAAACTTTATAAAAAAAAGATTGGACAACTTATAGCTGAGGCACAACTGAGGGTTTTTCACAAAAGACTTGCATAGAATATTGAAGGAAAGAGAAGTTAAGAGCCTAAACAATTCTATTTTACATATACACATTTTACATTTTCTACATATACTGTCAAAGATATAATGTTAAATCAATCGTATGTCATAATATAAACAACACTAAAAAATGCAATATCTTGGGACTTAAAAATTTGACGTCTTTTTCTTTCAAGGCTTTCAGTTCTGTCCTGTTCCATCCTACACTATATTTAATCGGCTTCCTCGGGTGTAAAAGTAATTAAAACAAGTAGCTGAGGTAGATACGAAATATTATATTGCTATTATCCGCTTTATTTCCTTTTCTTTCTCTTTGTATTAGAGTAGAAAGTAAATTAGCTTTCAAGGATACGAAATCTTTAGCCGGGATTTTGCAAAAATGTGCAACCGTTTTTTTACGCGGATATATACCTTAATTGAGGTAAAAAATCGACAACAATAATGAAAACTATTCATTTTTGTGTTGTAAAAATAGACCGTATGGAAATTGATGTCGAAATTTTTGAACGAACAGTGTGAGAATTTATTCATTTTAGTTAAACATAAAGTAGCTGATTATATTGAGGTTTTATTTTATTTCATATCTTACTTTTACGTTCATATTTTACGTCAATTAGTGATTCAGATCTAATACAATGCAAATATTATTATTCCGTAACACCTTTAAATCATTAAAATAGGAACAATAACCGTAAATCACAACATTAATTAAGAAATCATTCATAATAATTAATGAACTAGTTTTCTATGAGAAATATTATTAAATATCTCATTAGTGTTTATTTATTTTATGATTTTTGCCTTTCTAGGAAACAAAAGTATTAATATACGTTAAAGCAAAAAATCCAGTGAAGCAATTGTAGTTTCATTATGTTAACTAAGTAATGCAGCATCAAAGAAGCACTTAAAGAAGAAGACAAAAAGTATTACGTATTATAGGTACTGTTCATTACTAGCCACGAAAGTGTTAAGATGTGGGATGGAGTGATGCGGGAAACACTGTAACCTCTAAGGTCTATTGTGTTTATCTCCTTCTATGTCTGTACCCAGTCTTCAATCTCTGTACCCTGAACCAGCTTATGCAGGTTCTTCATAGAACGAGAGCATATCTCCTTCGTTTCTAGCCTTCCTTTCTGAAATGGAGAGTATCAGTGGCATACTATGTGCTCTACTGTTTCAGGATCGTAGAGTCTGCAGCTAAGATTTTCGTGGAAAACACAGGTTGAGCTTGTTCAGGTAGCTCTTGACAGACATATCTTCTGTCAAGGAATCTGCTATAATCCGTACTTTATTCTTTATTAGTATTGGCAGTTCTTTTGTGGTTTTAGAATTAGATACTTGAATGTAGGTATTACTATGTCTATATCCCTGTCTGTTTGTCCAGTGATCATGTCCTGATTTTCCCTGATCAAGAGATTTAGTGTACTACGGGTTATACATTTGAGTAGGTACTCCCAGTACTGGCTCTGGATCAAAATAGTATTCCTATGATCCTTGCCTTGCCAATTCGTTGAATTTTTCGTTGCCTTGAATGCCGCAGAAAGAAACAGAATAATTTAATTCTGTTCCTTCCTGTTAGAGTGCCAAGTTAATCTAGGTTAAAACTACTATAAGTATAATTGTTTACATTATTAGATTATTTATTGACGTTAAATCAGCAATAGAAACAAAGAAAATTGTTTTCTATTGTTGGCTATGCGGGTTATCCCTACTAATTTCATGGTCCCATCTTAGGTCTGGTCTTCTTCTAGGTCTCTTAATTTCACGTGGGTACCATGCCTTAATTTTTGTGGTCCATCTGTTGTTGGTTCTTCTTGCAATTACTTGAGGAATTTGATTCTGTGAATAACATCTATTACCTGAGTCTTCTGAGTATGTGAGCATGGTATGACCTGCAGTTTCCTGATGATGTCCATTTAAGGTAACCAGGTTTCGCATGCATTAGGTCATGGCTGGTAGTACATATTGATCGAATGTTTTCTTCTTTAGATAAAGGGACATTCTAAATTTGAATATGATTGAGTTTCTTCCATAATATGTACTCCAGTACAGTAAGATACATAAATACTATTAAATCGACTGTGTAAATCATAATATGTTAATTAACAAATTGCAATACTATGGATTCAGGGGAGTGCCATTCGAATGGCTTAAGTCATATCTTTGCAACAGAAGGCAGCTTGTGAGGATTGATACGTCTATGTCTTCTTGTAAGCCTATAGAATATAAAATGTGGTGTCCCACAGGGTTCAGTACTTGGCCCTATTTTGTTTCTCGTGTTTATCAACGACATTGCAATTCTAGACATTGGCGGTAAAATCTGCCTCTTTGCTGACGATACTAGTTTCACTTGGAGCGGCCCAGATGTTACGGTACTATATAATACTATATCCAGTGACTTACGCACCATTAAATCTTGGTGCGATTCTAATCTCCTATACTTCAACCTTTCAAAAACTAAAGTTTTGTCATATAAAAGTACTATACAACCTTTTGTACTTAATAACACCACTATTGACGTCGTGGACTCTGTGAAATTTTTAGGACTTGTTGTAGACAACTCGTTAAAATGGGACTTGCACATCGAAGCTATATCAAAGAAACTAAGCGCTGCCTGTTTTGCGCTAAGATCAGTTTTTAAGAAACTTAACTTATCAATCTCTAGAATAGTCTATTATGCCCTTTTTGAGTCGTATCTTCGTTATGCCCTTCCATTTTGGGGTACTTGCTGCGCGACAAAATTTGATCGTATTTTCAAACTTCAAAAGAGAGAGCAGTTTGATATTTATTGGGACTGAACAGTATAGAACTCACTGCCAGAATTTCTTTAAAAATTTCAAAATACTGATTCTTCCTTATTCATTTTTGAATCCGTTTGCTTAATTCGCAAGCACATATCTGCCATTCCCGGAAGGCCATCTTACGGCTCAAAGGCTCAATACTGTGCAATG